CTCATCATGCAAAAGAACTACCTGGGTGCTGGGGGTTGAAATCAGGAAGGGCTCTGTGGGCATCTACTGGGAGAGGGACCAGGAGTGGGTAATATTTGGTCCTAGAGGTCAGGGGCATTGGCTAGCCATTATTAGTCAGAGATGACCACCTCCCCCAAGGCAAAGTCTCCCTTGGACAGGATCACCCTCTCCCATCCCCCTAGGACTCACGCCTCTTTGAGGAGACCAGAAAGGCAGCAAGCCTCAGGGGTGCATTTTCATCCTAACAAGTCCCTACCCACAAGGAGGCCCTGGAATTAAAGCTGTCCCTCTTTCTGGGTGCTTCCCCCAAACTCCACCCAGAAAAGGGAAAATTCAGGGAAGGGGGCTGTGTCCAGGGGGCTAGGTTTTGCCTCTAAGACAACCCCAAATCTTAGAGTTTGAATAAAACACTTATCACTCTCATGATAAGTGCATCACAAGTAGGCTCAGGCTCAGTTTGGTACTCAGAGATCCAGGCTGATGACCGGCCATCTTGACTCCTATTTCCAGGACCATCCCAGTGAGAGGGAAGGGCCATGGCAGATTATGAACCAGTTTTTAAAATGTCCACCAGGGACGCCTGGGTGGCTCAGTTGGTTAAGCAGCTGCCTTCGGCTCAGGTCATGATCCCAGCGTCCTGGGATCGACTCCCACATCGGGCTCCTTGCTCATCGGGGAGCCTGCTTCTCCCTCTGCCTCTGCCTGCCATTCTGTCTGCCTGTGCTTGCTCTCTCTCCCTCTCTCTCTCTGACAAATAAATAAATAAAATCTTTAAAATAAAAAAAAAAATAATAAAATAAAGTGTCCACCAGAAGGTGACCTTTTCTTTTCTTTTTGGCTAAATTCAGTCACATAGTTGTATCTAATTTCAAAGTGTAGAAAATTAGTGCAACCCTACCATGTGCTGGGGAGGGGTTGGAAACACTGGTGAACAACATTAATAATTTATCCATTAACTTAACTTTGATGAGTAGCCTTCTCTGTTATAGCTAAAGTAGCAACTACACACACACACACACACGCACATACACACTATGGTTATTGGGTTTTGGTAATTTGGAGAGGGTCAGCAATATCCTCTTATCTATGTTTTATTGTCATCCCAGCATTTGTCATTACATACATACTCATTTTTAAAGTTTATTGTTTTTCTCTGTCCACAGTACAAGGTCTAAGGAAACAAGGACCTTGTTTCTTTTGCTCATTTCTGTATCTCCAGACCCTGGAATAGTATTTGGTACATAGTAGGTGCTCATTAAATATGTATCAAATGGTTGGATATGAATATGTGTTTCGTTTACTTAAGTGGGATATTACTGCATATGTTATTCTGTAACTTTGTTTCACTTAATGTCAGTTCATGTAAATACTTTGTCCTTCTTTTAAATCGCTGCACTCTATTTTGTAGTATGAATTACCATCATTTGTTCAGTCATTTCCCTTGTGGGGAACCTTGAGGTTGCTTTCAGATTTTCAAAATTTTGAACAAAGCTGTAGCAAACATCCTTACATATACTTTGGAGCACTTGAATGTATGCTTTTCTGGATAAATACTTACTAAAATAAAATGCTAGGGCAAAAGTTACGTGTGTCTTATGCAGCCTTAAAAGGTGGTGACAGTTTACAGTCCTACCAACGTTAAATGGGAGTGTGGCACCTCCTACAGTTCATCATTGATTTATTAACCATTCATTAATGTCCTTCCAGTCCTACGGGAGGCAAATGATTTTCCATCGGGTGAATTTGCAGCATCCTGATTTCTGTGAAGCTGTGCTCATTTTTCTTATGTTTATTGGTCATTTGGCATCTTTTTCTCTAAATGGCCCAGATAAATTATTTGACCATTTTTCAGTCTAGACTATTTGCTTTTTTAAAAAATCGTTTATTGGGACGCCTGGGTGGCTCAGTGGGTTAAGCCACTGCCTTGGGCTCAGGTCGTGATCCTGGGGTCCTGGGATCGAGTCCCGCATCGGGCTCCTTGCTCGGCAGGGAGCCTGCTTCCTCCTCTCTCTCTGCCTGCCTCTCTGCCTGCTTGTGTGTACTCTCTCTCTCTGACAAATAAATAAAATCTTTAAAAAAAAATTTAAAAAAATCGTTTATTATTGCATTATAGATAATTTCTTTACCTTTTTAAAAAGTTTTTTTCTTCAATTTTTTTTAAAGATTTTATTTATTTATTTGACAGACAGAGATCACAAGCAGGCAGAGAGGCAGGCAGAGAGAGAGAGAGGAGGAAGCAGGCTCCCTGCAGAGCAGAGAGCCCGATGTGGGGCTCGATCCCAGGACCCTGGGATCATGACCTGAGCCGAAGGCAGAGGCTTTAACCCACTGAGCCACCCAGGCGCCCCTTTTTCTTCAATTTTTAAAAAATATTTTATCTTGGTAAAATTTGTGCTTTTGTCCTACAAAAGGTATTAGCTTTAATATAGTCGGCTATATCCTTTGTCTTTCCTTTACAGCTCTAGTTTTATATCTTTTTTTAAAGATTTTATTTATTTGACAGAGAGAGACACAGTGAGAGAGGAAACACAAGCAAGGGGAGCGGCAGAGAGGGAGAAGCAGGCTTCCTGCTGAGCAGGGAGCCTGATGCGGGGCTTGATCCCAGGACCCTGGGATCATGACCTGAGCCCAAGGCAGACACTTAACGCCTGAGCCATCCAGGTGCCCCTTCTCCCAAAAGTGACATTTTGCATATCTATAAAACATTATCAAGGGGTGCCTGGTTGGCTGAGTTGATATCCCATGGACTAGCTGTACCCCTGTTTGCTTAACCACTCACCTGCTGAGGGACATTCAGTGGCATGTTTCCATGGGGGTGGTTATTACAAATAAAGCAGCTGTGAAATTCATGTATGGGTTTTGCCATGAACCTAAGATTTTGTTTCTCTAGGATAAGTACCCAGGAGTGTGGTCACTGGGTTTTATGGTAATATATATTCAACCCTTTAAGAAAGTTCCAGGTCATTTTCCAGCATGGCTGTACCAGGTATGTTCCCACTGGCAGTGCCTGAGAGATTGAGTTTCTCTGCATCCTCCCAGCCTTGACACTCTCAGTATTTTTTATTTTAGCTATTCTAATTTGTATCTCTTGTGATTTTAACTTGCCTTTCCCTACCGGCTTGCGATGTTGGGTATCTTTTCCTATGCTTATTTTTATGGCCCGTTTTGGTATCTGGCGGGCAAGGTGCCTATACGATTCCTGCCTTCCCTGACCCTGAGAGGAAGAGCTGACTTTGTCTGTTCCCTGAGGCAGGAATGCTTGTCTTGGTTCTTCTACAAGAAGGAAAGGACAGGGGACATGTGTGATTTGACCCCAGTGGTCAGGAACACAGGCTCAGGTGGTCTCCAGAGGCTCACTGAGGAGACGTGAAGCTGCCAGCACCACATATGACAGCCACCACCCTTCCTCCAGTCTACACCCCCCAAAACACTTTTAATAAAATCAAGGCCTTTGGAGATGGAGTTACTTGGGTGTCGTGACGGAGTTCTGAGACAGGTCTCGTAATTGGAAATAACAGGACTTGAACAAAGGGGACCCAGTCAACGGGGTCACAAATACTACCTCCCCACCTTTTCAGAATGTAGAAAGTACCAGGAAGAGCCAGTCTCCTAGATCATACAGTGGAGGATCCGGGGGGAGTGGGTCAGATTTACCCTCTAGGGCAGAGATTCTAGAAGCAGAATCCAGAGTGGTGAGGCTCACAGGAGTCCCCTGCCAGACAGCACATCCCAAACTCAGGTCCTTTCCTGTACCCCTGACCAAAGTTTTTTTTTTTTCTTTTTCTGTACCCAAGACCAGAGAATTCTCTTCATTATAACCTATCCACTGAATCATTATGCATTACCAAAAGATGGTCTTCATAAGGTAAAGTGAGGCTATTTATACAGCTGATGGAATAGTGTCCGTGCGGCCTCAGCTAAGTTACTTAAAATGTGTTCCTCCACTTCCCTATCTGTAAAATGGGACTAATAAATAGTTCAGCTCCACTGAGACATTGGGAGGGTTTGGGTGCGTAGAACAGTGCCTGGCCCAGAGCAAACATGGCAGAGGTGTCTGCTTTTAATACGCCTAAAACATGAGCAGCCCCGACATATGCTTCTAGAGGGAGAACATAGATCGTCTCTGCCCCTATAATTAAAGCTGAGGTATATATAGGCAAGCCCCCCTTCCAATTCATATTTTACTTTTGCTGCACATTTAGTTGTTGTTTCTCAGTTCTTTGAGTGGGAATATCTAGTGAACGTAGGCTGCAGGGATTTCAGCCACTCTTGAGGAGGCTTCAAAATATTGGAGACCCTGTGCACAGATGGCATTGGTTTAGGACCCAGGAGGGTAGTCCTGTTGCTCAGAACTAGGTACAAGGGGAGTGGTAGAAATCTCATCCCTGGAAGGCACTGCAGCAGCTTGATGTGGTGGCGGTGGTCCTTCGGCTCTTTCCTGGGAATCCCAGCTTCCTAGGCTGCCCCGCACCCCACACTGGCTAGCTTCTTCATGGACCCCAGGAGGGTCTGTGGACTGAGTGTTCCCCTATGCATGCACATGCCAGCACAGGGCTCAGGACCTGGCCCTGGATGCCTCCTCCAGTAAGCCTTACCTGAGTGATCAGGCCCGGTTCTAACCCAACCTTTCCTCTGCACTTGAGGACTTGGTATATCTCTGTCCATTTGTCCTTCTGCTCTGCCGAAGGAACAGAATCCTGGCTGAGTCAGAGTGAATCCTTTCTGCTCAGACTATGGTAGAGGACTTGAAATTTGTAATGAGGCCCGTTCACATATATTTGCCCAATAGATTCAACATACTACGTTGGATGATGAAGGCAGCTCAGCCCAGAGAGGGTAAGCCACTTGTCAGACACCACAGAGCCAGACCCAGGCGGAAGAGCTCCCCATTAGATCACACTGCCTCTTGTGAAGATGATTGTTGGTGGCCTAACTCCTTACCTAGTGAGCTAACTGGCCTCTTTTCATGGCCCCTGCAGATGCCAAGGGGACCATCCGGGAGATTGTCCTGCCTAAGGGCCTGGACCTGGACCGGCCCAAGCGGACCCGCACGTCCTTCACGGCCGAGCAGCTATACCGCCTGGAAATGGAGTTCCAGCGCTGCCAGTATGTGGTGGGCCGGGAGCGCACTGAGCTGGCCCGCCAGCTGAACCTCTCCGAGACCCAGGTAAGCCGGCAGGGCCAGGCCGCTCCACCCCCGGCCTGCAGCCTGGGGACTTTGTGGGGTGTGAGGCCTTGTGGGCTGCTACTGGGAGACCCAGCTTGGGAGGACTTCGGACATGTAACAGGGAAAAGCTGAGAGTTAGAGGTAAACCAGAGCAGTAAATACAGTGGGAACAAGAGAACGCTGGTGTAGGCCCACAGGGGGCCTTCTGAATGCATCTGCCACTTTGGGGTGGGATATGAGAAGGAGCCAGAGAAATAGGAAGGAGGGGGGTCCAGGATGCAGGGAGTGAATCAGGGGGTGTTGGTGCCAGAGGGACCTTGCAGGAAAGGAGGGGGAGGGGTTGGCTTGCCAGGAGCAAAGATTCCAGGAAGAGAAGAAACATCAAAGAACTGAGTTGGGGACTTATTCCCCCAATTCTGGGCCATCCCCCTGCCCCCCTCCATACATACCCACCCTTTATCCCACTGTGCCTCAGAAGTTCTTGCTGGAGAGAAGGAGTCTGAACACCCCCTTCACCCAGGAAGGGCTTAGCATTTTAACAATAATAAGCTTGACCCGAAGGAAAACCTTTTGTAGAGTCAGCGTGCATTCTGTGTGAATGGAGGCATTTCAAGCTGTAACAGATGCATGATAACAATAATGGTAATAATACCACTGAGGACCTGCTGTGCCCAGGAGCTGCTCTGTGGGCTCTGCATAGAGTAATTCACCAAGGCCTCCCAGCAACCCAGTGCAGTTAAGTCAGGGGTGGCTGCTTTCCTGCGAGCCTGGGCCATCTCCACCTGGACCTGTTTTCTTGCAGCTGCCAGTCGCAGAGCCCCGAACCACCCGGCCGATGGCCCCGGGCAACAGGGACCCTCGCCCCAGCTATGCTCAGTACAGAGGCTGGCAAGCCAGGCTCTTCCAGACAGAGGGCTGCAGTGGCTGCGCCAGGCCAGAGCTCCTGGAGCGAAATGAGGCAGAGAGTCACCCCTCCGTACCTGCCCCTCCCTATCCTAACTGCCCTCTGCCTGGCCTCACTTTGCCCGCACACTATACCTGGAAACTTTGCTCCTCCTCCGTCCTCGTCCTTCCCCTGCTCGGCCCCCTAGACACCATAGTGTACCTGCCCTTGATGGTTGAGGCCAAACCCCTCCTCTTCCAGGAAGACTTCCATAAGACCTCCACCTGAGAGATCCTTCCATATGGCATGTAGCGTGTGTGTGTGTGTGTGTGTGTGTGTGTGTGTGTGTGGGTGTGCTGGACACTAGCTAGCATACACTTCCGTGGGACAAGAATGTGTTTGAAAGCCACATCTCCTTTTCAGATCTCTTTGGGGAGCTCAGCACACAGCTGGGCAAACAGAGACCCCCCCCCCCCCCCCCCGGAATCCTCAACTTACTGACTCTTGCTTACTCCCCTCCTTTCTTTTCCCCAGCCCCAGGCCTTGTAGGTCCTGTAAGGCACAGCTGACCTTTACCGGGACCTCTGTACCAGGCTCTGAGTACTCGAGGTGTCCTAACTCCTGTCGTCCTCACCACGACCTTGTGGGAGGGGAGGGAGGTTTTTCTTCAGATTGTACTTCTGACGCCCAGTGTGTAGTGTTTCCCAACACCAAGAGCAACCAGTTCTCCCATTGTCTCCCACCAACTGGGTGTCAAACTAGTCAATTCAGTTCTGATGCAGACTCCTGCAGTGAGCACCGACGCCACCACGTAAGGCTCAGTCCCACAGGACAGTCTCCCATCTGGTGCCAGGTGCAAGTCTGGGCCACCTGTACTTCTGACTGGCCAGCTGGAAAATTGGGGGTTCCCACATCTCCTTCCTCGGGTTTGGCGGTGTGTTGGAATGGCTGGCAGAACTCAGGAAAACATTTTACTTTCATATACAGGCTTATTGTAAAGGATAGAACTCAAAAATAGCCCAGTTTGGGGCAGGGGAGAGAGACAGCCAAAAGAGATCCATAGAGCAAGCTGTTGGGGTGGGGGTGTTCGAGGAGATTCTGTACAGTTTCTGGGTGTGCCAGACCCCAAGACTCCCACATGCTTATCAACCCAGAAGCTCTCAGAATCCTTACTGTTCAAGAGTCTTTATAACCCAGCCCCCTCCCCTTCCTGGAGGGCAGGGGTGGGGACTCCAAACCTTTAATCATGGGTGGGGGGTGTCTTTCTGGGACCAGTGCTGCCACCTGAAACTGTGCAGGGCCTACCCTGAGTCACCTTGTTAGCATAATCTCAGATGTGACTTAAAGGGACCCGTTATCAATGATAAAAGACACTCCTATCACTCAAGGAATTCCAAGTGTTTTAGGGGCTCCCTATCTAGAACCAGGGACAAAGGTCAAATATGTACACTTTTTAAATACCAGAAGAGGCCTTTATTATTTCGGCTTTAAGCAGAGGGGAACTGAGGCACAAAGAAATTAAATAACATGTTCAAAGTTTAAGGCAGGCATATTTGGGGAACATGGTTGGCTCAGTGGAGAATGCGACTCTTGATCTCGGGGTCATAAGTTCAAGGCCCACACTGGATATAGAGATTACTTAAAAATAAAATATTTTAGGGGCACTTGGGTGGGTAATTTGGTTAGCATCAACTCTTGATCTCATCTCAGGTCTTGATCTCAGGGTCATGAGTTCAAGCCCAGCGTGGAGCCTACTTAAGAAAAAAAGTCTTGAAGAAAAATAAAAATCAAGTAGGCACATACATTCATTAGTTCAACTAATCTTTACAAAAAGATGGCTTTATGGGTAGTACTATCCCCATTTCAGGAAACTCAGAGAGGTTAGTAACTTGCTCTAGGTTATATAGCTAAAATTCAGTGGAATTCTCCATCTATTCACCCATACCTCTGTTCAAAAATATTACTAAATACTTACTACATACAGGTACTGTTCTCGGCACTGGAAACGTAGCCCAGAGCAAAACGGACCAGGCACCTAGCCTCATAGCAGCTTCCATTCTGCAGAGAAAGACAGATAGCATTTATTTATTTATTTATTTATTTATTTATTAAAAGATTTTATTTATTTATTTGATAGACAGAGATCACAAGTAGGCAGAGAGGAATGCAGAAAGAGAGGAAGGGAAGCAGACTCCCTGCTGAGCAGAGCGCCCGATGCGGGGCTTGATCCCAGGACTCTGGGATCATGACCCAAACCATAGACAGAGACTTTAACCCACTGAGCCACCCAGACGCCCTGACAGATAGCATTTAAAGAGTGATGAGTGCTATGAGGCAGATAAAACATAATAAAATAGAGACTAGAAATCTTTCCTTAGGGTCATCAGGGAAAGCTTTTTTGAGGAGATGGGCTGAGGTGTGAATGACAGAAAGGAGACAGCCAGAGGAAGAGCCAGAAGAAGAGGAGTCAAGACTCAGAGTAAACTGGCAAGACCTGGAACTAGTATAGAATGTTCTGGAAGTGTCAGAAGACCAGTGTGGCTGGAGTTGGAGGGTAATAGGGAAGGTAGGTAGGGCAGAGCAGATAGTGTTTAGAGGCCACAGTGAGGTGTTGAAGAGAGGACTGGCATTTTACAGAGATCACCCTGACATCTGGAGAATGTGGATGAGAGGGCAAGGTGGGGCCACTGCCATGTTTTATCAAGCTCTGGGTGATGGTGAAGGAGAGAAGTGAACTGATCTGAGACGTACTCTGATTTGGAGATAGAGCCTGTTAGGACTTGCCCATCATGAATTATGTGCACTGGGCAAGGGAGAGAGAAGTGGTTGGGACTGGAACAGATGTATGTGGAAAAATGGTCACATATGCCACATCCCACATGGACAAGTTGAGAAAGCCGGGGAGGAGCAGGACAGTGGGAGAAGAATCTAGAGTTTTGTTTTGGATCAATTCAGTCTGAGATCCAAGTGGAAATGTCAGGAAGATATGTCTGAGTTTTCTCAGGGGGTTGATGTTTCTCTGATTTACCTAACGGTCTTGGTCTGGGTTCTTCTGGGGGAAAGGATAAGAGACTCCTTCAAGTGTGCTCAAATGATAGATGGACTTCTAAGGGATGAAACAGGAGGCACAGTCTTGTGGAAATCCAAGAACAGGAACCATGGTGTAGCAGGCCTAGTAGAGAGTGGAAACTGAAGGTCATTTTGGACCCGAGGGCTTCAATGCCAAGTACAGCCCTGCCCTCTGGAGCTCCCAACTATGCCCCCAACTGCTCTCTAAGTGACTGCCTCTGTCCACTTCTCTTCCTCCTGCCAACCAGCATCTTTTCCCTCTTCCTGGTTATCAGGAGGGTCCTAATTCAGGCAGAGAGAGCATGGGCTTACTCAGGGCCCATTCTCATTCCCTATCTCCTCCTTAATCTCTATATGCCAGGTAAGTTGTCTGCACTTTTAATGAGAGCCCCCTTATAGGACCTGGTGGGCAGAACAGTGAAGTCTTCCCTCCCCACCGCCTACAGAGTTCTGCAGGCTGAGGCATTCTTCAGATGTAGGGACAATGAACCAGGCAGGACACAACTGACCTCTGGCCCTGGCCTTGCCGAGACCCTGAAGGTTGGAGAGCAGGTGGGGGTCTCAGAAAGAGCTATTTCTTGGAACCATCAGAATCACCTCTCCCCAGCTCCCCAGAGCGGCATGTGCTCTTCCCCACATCAGAGAACTAGGGTGGTCCCACTTAGCCCAGTTCTCACTGTGTTTAGAAACCCCCTGATACACCTCGTCCCCATGCTTCATTTCAAGGAGAACATATGGTGCTTAGTTAAACCAGTGTTTCTCAAAGTGTGGTCTGCAGACCACCTTTGTGGAGAACCCCTGAGGTTCTCATTAAAATGCAGATTCCTGGCTCAGATTCCATGCTCAGCCCACAGGTTCCAAGTCAGAATTTCTAGGGAAGACCGAACAACCTCTGTATTTTTCAACTGATGTGGTACCACACTGCTGGAAAGACTTCAGCGTCTGCCAGACACTTTACTGAATCCACTAGTATTAGCTCATTGAGTTATCCCAGCAAACCTATGAGGAAGCATTCTTACAATCCCATTTTACAGATAAGGAAACTGAGGACCAGAGAGTTTAAGTAACTTGCCCCATGCCATTCTCACTAATCAAGGAGGGGCCGGAGTTGAATCCAGGTCTGTCTGACCCCAAGATCTTCACTGTCTTGTTTGCTACTTCTACCAAAACATCTACTGTCTTGTAACTCTTACCGACCTGTCCATTTTCCCTGCTACTGGTGTCTGAGAGCTAAGTGGGTGAGTTTTAGGTATTCCTGTTTCCTCAGCACCTGGCAATGCTGACATGGGCTGGATGCTTGCTGTTTATGTGTTGTATGAATGAATGACTAGAGGCAGAGCTGGAAACAAGAAAAGAAGACATGGCTGTGGAGAAAAGGAAAGTGGGAGGCTGGCTCCAGGACCCTTGTCACTCGGCTGACCTGGGGGACTTCTTCAAGGCCAGGGCCTCAGACAGGCTGGAGGCTGAAGACAAAGGGCCACGTCCCAATACTGACTTGGTCATCCCTTAGCTCGGATAAGAGCAGCTCTGGCTCCTCGACAGTTACCTCAGCCCCATACCCATCACCTCTGCCCCAGATGACTTCATCCGGAACCGCAGAGTAGGGGGTACTTTCCAGGTTACAAAAACCAGGGCCGTCGCAGATACGCAAGTACTGTTAATAGGTTTGGGCTCACAGTCACAGGAAGCAGCCTCTTCTTTTTTCTTTTTTTAAGATTTATTTATTTATTTATTTGACAGACAAGAGATCACAAGTAGGCAGAGAGGCAGGCAGAGAGAGAGGGGGAAGCAGACTCCCCACTGAGCAGAGACCTGATGTGGGGCTAAATCCTAGGACCCTGAGATCATGACCTGAGCCAAAGGCAGAGCTTTAACCCACTGAGCCAGCCAGGCACCCCAGGAGGCAGCCTCTTAAAGATCAATGCCATTTCCAAATCCACAGTGAGGCTTGGGGTTTAAAGCCAACCATGAGCCCAGAAAGGGGGACAGATGATCTCCCAGAAAACACCTCCCCAGTCCTGGCAGCCGGCTAGAAACCACGCCCCTCCCCTCGTGTGCCACTCACCGACTTACTGACTTACTGACTCACCGTGTGGTCCCTTGCGGGTAAGAGGGCCCCAAGCATTCCCTGAGTTCCAGGGGAAGCAGGAGAAGGAGGAGGCAGGATGGCAGCCTGCAGGGAGACACAGCAGGGCACCAAGAAAGCAAGGGGAGGCCAGCGTCAGGAAGTATGCTTCTGCACAGGATCCAGGCCCATCCAGTATGTCATCGAATTGGGCCATAAAGGACCTGTACCCAGATTTAACCCTGAGAGGGTGGCCCTGGTGGTGGAATTGAAAGCTTCCTTGAGGAAAGGGAGGGACGAGCCCAGAGGCTATGAGCCTGTCTCTTACTTGTTTGCTGAGCCTTACAAATTGGCCCTTTAGGGGCTGTGGGACTGATGATAGGAAGTAGACGGGCCTGGTGCCTCGCCCCCACCTTTGCAGCTCCAGCATCTTCTACCCCAGTTCATACATCAGAATCACATCCAGAAAGTTTTTAAAAATATGGATGCCTAGGCCTTACCCTGTAGAGATTCTGAGCTGGGATGAGGCATGGGCATCCGGCTTTGCTAGAAAATGACTCCAGGTAATCTCAGGGATTGACAGCCCCTGATGTGGCCCATAAGGGCCCAAGAAATGGGCATGCCAGACCCCAGCCCCTGCCCCCCCTTCCCTCTTCCCCAAGAGACTTCTAGACCTGGGGCCAGCCCACATGTCCCTCTCCCTGCTCGCCCCCCAACCCACCCAAGCTTTGTCATTCCTCACGGATCACATTCTTGTTACTGCCACTCCCTTTGCTGCCAGGAGTGGGTCAGTACCACCCTCCCCCTGGACCCTCAGCTTCCCCAGGACAGGAATCCTGACTTCTGGGTCTGTCCTCTCCCCCTAGTTCAGAGCCAGGAGCTCACATTCCGGGTAGGCCAGACACCATGCAGAGCCGTCTACATGGACTTCCTTATCTGATCCCTGCAACAGCCCAGGTATTTTTGTCCCCATTTTGAGATGAGAAACTGAACTGGGGCATTCTTGGGGTGGTACCTCGGTCCTACAAGAGCCACTTCCCCAAGGGTCTGGAGGGACCCTTTCCTGGAGTTCCAGGGAGCGACAAACTCAGGAAGGTTTTCTTTCCAGTGGCTTCCTTCAGCCATACTTAGTCGAATGCCCTTGACCTTCCCTTATTGCTATCTCCTTCACACGTCACCTCTTCAGAGAGGCTGTGTTTGCCACCCACTAAGTAATGAGCTAGTCCCCTCCCCTCCCTCTCCCCCTCCATCCTGCAGCCTTTTCCCAAACCAGTGTCTCCAAGTGCGGTTCTCAGGTCTGGTGTCCCCCGCAAACTGTTCCCTGTCCAGGACGAGTTAGGTGCACAAAGGTAGAGTAAATGTAATTCATTTTAATTGTATTTGACAAAAACATTGGTCCACAACAGACTGGAAACTTTAAGGCGGTTCCTCAGCATGAATAATTTGAGGGACACTGCCCAAAGCCCTTCACGCCCCCTGACAGTCACGCTGTTTTCATTTGCCCTTCTTCGTCTCCGGCTCTCCCTCGGTGCTGTCCCCTCCACACCAAGGATTTGCTCTGCTTTCATCCCTGCTCATTCCCCGCCCCCCACATCGAGGGCACCGCCCAGCAGGTAGTAGGCACTCAGTACATAGCCACTGAATGAATGATTGAGTGAATGAATGAATGAAAGAAGGAAGCCCTCAATCTCAAGTACATCCCATAACCTCTGGTTATTTCTATCATTGAAACTCAATCCAGTCCAATTTAAAACACCAGACTCCTGTCTATTTCAGATCTCCTCTTCCTCCCCTTCCCGACTCAGAACAGGTCTGACTCACCATTGGGGGCGCTAGAGGAAATGGGGTCTCTAGGCATCGCCCCAGGGGGCCTCCACTGGGCCCTCATCCTCACCCAGCCAGCCCTCCCACTCCTGCCTCCTCTTTCTTGCCTCTGGGCTCCTTCCCCGGAGCCACAGGAGTGGCTGGCCTCCCTTAAACCCTCGCAAAGCTGGAGTCCACCAGCAAGGCCATCCCATCCTTTTTCTCTTGTGCCCTCCCCTCTGTGGCCCCCCACCTTGTCCTGTGGGCCCACACTGCCCCAGCCAGCTGCCAGCCTCCTGAAACTTCCAGGCCAGAAGCAAGCACAGCCTCTGCACTCCTGGGCCACAAATCTGGGCGCAGTCGTGCTGGGTTGACAAGCGTTCCGGCTGGGGGAGGAGTGTCAGACTCTTCTCTCAGGTCCTTCCAGTCCCTACAAATGATTCTTCCATGCTCCTCGCCCTCCGTGAGGGGAACACCCTCTCCTCATAGTGGGAAGGAAATCCTGGCACCATGAGGGCTGACCACTGAGCTTCGCTCCCAGCCTCCAGTTTCTTCTACAGACTAGAATGGGGCTCAGAGCACCAGGTGCTGGGTGGTGGGAGAGGCTATTCCTGCCTCCTCTCCTAGACCTGGGGAAAGGGGCTCTCTCTGCCCTTTTTTTGGTGGCTGCACTTAGATGTGGAGGACTTGGCACCTCTTTGTCCCCAGGTTTGAGTGTGTGGCCCTTGGAAGCCCCCTTGGCAGCCTTCTGTATGCTGTCACACCTGGTGTCGCGTTAGGAAGCCTGGGGGCCTTTATAGAGCATGATGGGGGTGATGTCTGCTGAAAGGTTCACACAGAAGGGACAGAAAGCTCCCTTCAGAGGCAGTGTGGGGGTCGAGACCAGGAGCAGTGGGATGGTCCACACACTTGGCAGCTGGTCCCTGCCTGGGATCCCATGCTTCCCTGGGCCCCTTCTCGGGCCATGCCCCTCCCTATAAGGTGAGCGCTCTGTGAGCCCACAGATGCTGCCTACTGGGAGTCTGTGTCCACCTTCTAGATCACACCCCATGTCCATGATCTGGAGGGTGGGTCCCTTACTGGTTCACCCTGAGCAGGCTGGTGTGGAAAGACCTCAGTGACATTCTGAATGCTCTTCTCCCCCCTTTCGCTCCACCCTTGCTCCCCCACTTCCCACTCCCTTGCCCTCCACGTCCTCCCTCTCCTTCTCTCCTCCCACCTATCCCCTCTTTGCTTCACCTGTCCCCTCTCCCTTTCTGGCACCCCTTCCCACCCTGTGCCCCAAGGTGAAGGTCTGGTTCCAGAACCGCCGCACCAAACAGAAGAAAGACCAGAGCAGAGACCTGGAGAAGCGGGCGTCCTCCTCGGCCTCCTCGGCCTTTGCCACCTCCAACATCCTGTGGCTGCTGGAGCAGGGTCGGCTATTGTCCGTGCCCAGGGCCCCAAGCCTCCTGGCGCTGACCCCTGGCCCACTGGGCCCACCTGCCGGCCACAGGGCCACCTCACCGGGTGACCCCAGGAACTCCTCCCCGTGCCTCAACCCATTGACCTCGGCCTCGGCTTCGGCGTCCCCGCCACGGCCACCCCCTCCACCAGCGCTCTGCTTTTCCTTGGCTCCTCTCCTGGACCTGCCCGCCTGCTATGAACTCAGCTCCTCAGCCTTCGAGCCCTACAGCCGGCTGGAAAAGAGAGGAGGCAGCCCTGGAGGTGGCAAGAAAGCCAATGTTTAAGCCTCCGCCACCCTGTGACACTGAGTCCCCAAGCACGTCACTGTCCCTGCCTGTCCTGCCCCGTGGGCTTGCGGGAGGCCGGCTCCCAGAGCGCGGGGGCAGCAAGCGTCCGGCCCCGCCAGCACCGCAGCTCAGAGACTGTCCACCGGAATGCCTTGGTCCTGCAGCTTGTGCGTGTGAGTGCAGTGTGCGTGTGTGTGCCTCTCACGGAAATAAAAGGAAAACAATGACAAGAAGGGAAACGGAGTCCCCACAGCACCAGCACTGCCCTCAATCCTTTCTTTCCTTCTCTCTGGGAAGAAGAATGGGCTGAGCCTGGGGAGCTTTAATGGCGGGGTAGTGGAAGCTAGACCCATGTTCACAGTTAAGGGGAGGATCGAGTACCACACGTGTGGGATGACAGGCACCTCAGGCCTACTCCCAATTAGAGCTCCCACCTGGGCATTGCAAAGCCCGAGGCGGCAACACTGACTCATTGGTTGGTTAAACATTGCTCTTTGTTAGCTCCTCCTTAAAGCAAAAATACCTAAGAGGTGGAACTGTTAAGTCCTCCAAGAGGGGTAAACAGTGAAAGGTGGGATCAGGATCTAGAGAGTTAGACAGGGTAAAACCAGGCAAGATCCCGCGTGCCCCAGAGAACACGACCCCCACGGTCACCACGGTCTTTTTGTTCAAGTAAGACGCTTGTGTTTAACTTTTTGTTTGGCAGTGGCTGTGGATTTATAGCAGGTTGCAAAGAAATCTTTGTACCCTTCGCCCTGTGTCTCCCAGTAGTTGCATTTTCCATAAGCGAAGTTTGCTGTTGGGAGCAGGAAGTGGATGTGGGTACTGTGTGGGCGTGGTTCCCTGTCATTGTATCCCCCAGGTGAGATTTGTGGAACCACCACACTGCAGTCCGGGTGCAGGGTTGCCAATGACCACAAAGGTCCCCTCTGCAAAGTACCCCCCCCAACACACACACACCCAGGAGATGTTGAAAGAATGGAAATACTGAGAGAGGGACCAGGGACCCAAAGTGGGTCCTCGGGCCAGAGGTTAGAGGTGAGATTTTAATCTTTGGGGAAGAAAAGCCAAGCACGGTCCACCCCAGTCTGCTCTGGGGAAGACATATTTTGGTTTCGGATTGGCTGGCCTGAGTCACCTGGACAGGGGTCCCCAGACAGCCGAGCTTCCTCCCTTCCCTCTGCGTTGGCGGTATAGTTTGCCGGCTGGATATCCTGAGTCTGGAATGAAACATGGGAGTGACCAGGGCAAACCTTCGGTTCAGTGGGTTGAGCCACTATCTCGTGCCCACCTTGACTTGTCCAGCAGACCTGTGACCCCATGACTCCTTTAGCCACTAGATACCAGGAGGATTCCTCCATTTGTACGTTCTGCTCTGAGCTGAAAAATGTCAGGATAGGTCTGTGGCATGACACTGGGCAGGTGAAATATAAAAAGGTAAGAGGTCCTAGGAATGGATGGAGGGAGACTTGCCCCAGCTCCCAGAAAGCTCTCAGTATTATGAGACAGAAAGACTAAAAGAGACCCAAGTCTGATGGAGGAGACACAAACTCAGCTCTCTGGAGGCTCAGAGTCTAGGGGCAGTGACAAGAGACAATTCTCCAAAAGGGCATGACAAAGGAAAGACACCAGATGAGTGGTGAACGCAGGGAAGGCTTCCTGTAGGAGGTGGCCCTGAAGCTGGCACAAGAATGGGGAGACAGTGAGGAAGAGACGTGGGGAGAGACGTGGTGTGAAGACCCAGAAGAGATGTGGTCTGGAGCAAGGGGAAGAGCTGAGTTCACCCTGGCCACAGACTGGGGGCAAACGAACACCCAGATTCAGAGGTAGAGGGCCAGCCATACGCCTGTACCGCTACCCTCCTGGCAGCTGCTGCTGGCCATTGGCTTAGGTCCCTTCCCAGATCCGGAAGAGCTTCTGGACCAGAGGCCAGTTTCCCTGTTTACAGTCAACTCAGGGAGGAGGGGACTGCCGAGGGGAGGGGTGGCCTCTGGGGCGGTCTGAGCCGCCCTCTCCAGCTCCTCCAGCTCCAGCCAGGCCTCAAGTATTGCACTCGCCACCGGCAGGCTCCCATCCTCAGCTCCCAGCCTGCCGCCTCGCCATGGCCATGAGGGTAGACAGTAGGCCCAGGGGAGTCCCTGGCAGTGGCTGTGACCTGGGCACAGCCCGAGAACACATGCAAGCGGTCACCAGAAACTACATCACCCACCCCCGTGTCAGTGAGTACAATCCCTGCAGGGGGGTGGGGGTGGGCGCTGCTGGGTGGTTCTGCTTCTTAGGCTCAGGGAAAGAGGAGGATCTGAGGCAGAGGAAGATCTAGGGGGCTCTCGGTCCAGCAGAGTGACACCATGGGCTGCCCCGGATAAGGGGCCATCTCTGTAGCTGGGGGATGGGGTCCCCAGCCCAGGCTACCCAACAGGGAGGGCAGGAACCTTGCAGGAACCTCTCAGTCATCTCCCTTACCCTGTACTGAGACCCCAAGTCCAGAGAGAGCTCCCCACTGCCCCAAGAGAGTGTGTTTGTGATACATGCTTTGTGCGAATCAGTGTGTGTTGGGGGGGGGGGGGCGTTGTGCGTGTACACCAGGACACTCAGCACAAGGAAATGTGCCATCAGGTGTTCTCAGGGAATGTGTGTGGCAGGGCAGACTGTGTGTGCTTTCTCGCGGTGGGGACATACGTGCCACTGCGTGTCGTGTCCGCAGGTACATGTCATGCGTGCATTTTGGGGAAGGTGTCTGTGTGTCTAACCCAGGGCAAGGCGCCTGCCTGGGTACGTGTGTGCTCCCACCTTCACTTAGGTGGGGATGGGTGTAAATATGTGTGTGACCGCTTGCAGATGTGTGTGATCAGAGTGAGGAAATGTGGGACAGTGTGTGTGCATGCTTGTAGGTTCAGTGTGAGCGTGTGGGTCCGCGCACGAGCGTGCATGCTCATGGAGAGAATGTGGGTACGTGGGCAGGTGATGTCGAATGTCTGTGTAGGGACAGCCCAGTGTATGCCCTTGCAGGACTCAGAGGGGGCCACCCCGAGGTGTGTCCAGATATCTGGGGCTCAGAAACCAGTAAGGCTCTGAGGACCAAAGGGGGTACTGGCTGCATCTCTCCTTGCCAAGGTCATTCTCCAGTTCTCAGGTTCTCAGGCAGCCCAGCTCACTGGCATAAACCGGCCTGGCCAGGACGGGCCACGGAGAGCCAGAGGCTCCCGCCAGGGCCAGGGCGTGTGAACAGAGAAGCTGGCCCAGCACAGCCTCCCGCCCTCTGTCTGCTGTTACCCAGGCAGCAGGGGGAGGAGCCGCCCGACAGGGCAGCCTGGAGAGCCAGGTCTGCGTTGAATGGGGCTGGCAGCCACCCAGAACAGACCAAGTGCAGTGTGGGCAGGCCCCATGCGGAGGAACACAGCAGGGGGTGTGCAGGCACCTCCAGGGGCCTGAGGCAGGCACTGAGGGGTGGAGCACATTCCAGCAGAGGAGAAACTAAGCGGGGCCAGATTTAGCAAGGAGGCCCTGCAGGCCTGGCCCTGTGGAGGCACCCAGGAAGCAGCGGGAAGCGCTGAGGCCCAGATCCCCCCCTGGGGCAAAGCAGGGGTCATGAAGGCCCGGAAATACCCCAGCCAGTCCCCTGCTTGGGTCCAGAGCCCAGGCCTGGTGGAGATCTGAGCTCCTCCCCCAACTACCCTTCCTTGCAGGGTGCCTTCCCAGGGACCCTGACAGGTGCCACCTCACCCCAGGGCCTCCTCCAGCCAGTTCCCTCCAGCCTGCACCTTATTTAGAGTCAACAAGGCTTGGTACAGAGAAACACCCAGGAGATGTGACCCAGGCTGGGACCCAGGGGTGGCAGCACCCCCGGTGTCTGTGTGTCCCTTCACGGGTCCCCCACCCAGGTGAATGTGTCACACCCAACAGCTGACCTGGAGACAAGGTTCTGCTGAGGGGGAGTCCCTCCACCCTCCACCCCACCGGCTCTTCTCCCCACCAGCATTAAAGTTGTTCCTGCATTGTTCCTGCAGTGACAAAGGCTGCACACCAGTGTCCTCATAGCGTACCCCCCAGGGGCCAGCCCCTGCCCCACTGACAGCCTCCCCAACCCGGGATCAGATCTGATTCCTCAGTGTGCTTCTGTGACCACAGCTTTCTCCAGTTCCCATCCCCCTTCTCCTCTGGGGCCTGAGGGGTTTCCTGCCTGAAGGGTGTGGAGGGGGGTTGGGAGAGGAGGGTGGGGGTGGGGAGAGGGCAGGTGCAGAACTACAGCTGTGCGCTCAGGTCACTGAGGCAGGTCTCCTGTGTCTCTTTGCCCATCTCCCCCAGCCTGGCCTCTGACCCCCGAGGACTCTGGATTTCTGGACAGTAGAACTTTATGTAAAGATAGAAGGAACCTAGGAGGAAAGGTGGGGGACCAGAAGGACAGGGATGGGGCAACTGGCTTCCAACCCCAGGGCTTCCTCGGCCATGGGTGGGGTGAGTCCAAGAGAAGGCTTCCTGGAGGAGGAGAGGGACCAACAGGCCTGAGGCCTTAAGGGTGATTTCACTGCAGTGGCTGAGGTCATGAGCCAGAAAGGTGGGGGCAGGGTAGACTTGGATGGGAAGGGAATTCCAGCAATATGCGCCCTGGTTGAGAAGGGACCATTTGCCTCCCTGAGAGCTAGAGCTCTTTCTCCAAGGGGAGGAGGTGGCATGGAGTTTTTTCCTATTGCGTGGGGCAGAAGATGCTAGGCAGGGCCTCGGGTAGGAGGGGATGCGGGGGGGCAGGGTGCCGCAGGAGCAAAGCTTGGACCCACAGGCTATCAGCCCAGCTGGAGGGGTAGAGCCAGGTCAGATCACCCAGAGGCTGGAGTGCCAAACCTCCAGCTTTGCCGCCTGACTCAGTTTCCTCAACGGAAAGGCCAGGGAGGTCACGCTGAAAGAGTTCCACCCGGCTGGTCCTGGACTGATTCTAAGAAGCCTGGGCTTCCAGCCCCTTGCCCTCCCTCTGCTAATCCCTCGGGAGGGGATCAGGGAGGAGGTGCGGGACCTGCTGCCCCGGGCTTGCCCCCACCCCAGTCTCACGCCTGGGCGACT